AGAATTAAGCACATTTAAAGCAAACTCGGAGAAAATAACGTCAAACACTTTGCACTTATTATTTCTCTCATGCTTCCTAATGTCTCTATCTCTAATAACATGGCAATCACGCAACTCGAGCATATTGCACACAACATTTATATCATGCTCCACCTTAATGGATTTTTTTTTTTAATTTTCACCATGAAAAACATTTTCATTCACAAATTTGGGTTTGGTTTCAACAAGTAAATTGGAATGAACTTCAACAGGCAAATGCTCCACCTCATTAGGAGCAACATCAGGAGAAACAACCAAGCAAGGAAATAATTCATTTTCAACAAAAATGACATTTCTACTCATCAACACATTGAAGCAAGTTTCACTCCTACACCAAAGTCTATAACCTTTCATGCATTCATGATATCCTAAGAAAACATATTCCTTAGTCCTAGGTTCAGATTTATCATTCTCACGATTCACATAAGCAGAACAACCAAACATTCTCAAACTTGACAAGTTAAGTGGTTTGCCCGTGAACACAGATTCATGGCCTTTCCCTCCTAAGGGAACAGACGGCGACAGATTAACCAAATCAACAACATAACAAATAGCTTTCCTCCAGAACTTATTAGAGAGTCCAGATGAAGCTAACATAGCCCTCACCCTCTCTAATAAAGTTCTAACCATCCTCTCAGCAACCCCATCCGGTTGGGGTGTGGAGGGAACAAATTTATGCATAGAAATACCCCAAGTATCACATAAATCACCAAGCTGATTATCACAAAAATCAAAACTGACATTGGTCCTTAAAAAATTAATTTTCTTACTGGTTTGTTTTTCAACAAGGGTTTTCCAGTTTTTAAACTTATCAAAAGACTTCAGATTTATTCTCAATCAACGTCAGAAAATAATTTTTCCCGCCATAAGTGGAAACACTATAAGGACCACACAAATTAGCATGAATACAACCAAGCACATTAGTACACTTACAGATCGGGAAAACCAACTCTAGACCGTTTTCCTAGCACACATGGTTGCACACAATTCACAGAATCAAATACGGGTTCAGCATGACAAACATAAAAGTTGTTTTTCATCTTAGCTTTGAAAACAACTAAACAACCATTCCCAACTTTCATGATTCCTTTCCCCATTTTCCTTTCAAACCCTCATTTTCAAGAGAAGCACAAGACAACAAATTACAGCACAACTCAGGAACATGTCTAACATTCTTCAAAGTAAGCACATAACCAGATGAGAACCTAAGGCATACATCTCCTATTCCTAGCACATTGCATTTCTTCTCATTTGCTAAAGACACAAAGCCATGCTCAATCTCTCTATAGTTTGAAAAAACATTTTTCAAAAGGGACATATGAAAAGTACAACCAGAATCTACCACCCAATCTGATTTACTCAATGAATCCGATATCACAGAACTTAAGTAGTCATAATCACATAGATTTGTCATAAAAACATCACCTAAATCATCTTCACACGTAGTCAAATTACCATGCTCACTATGCTCATTTTTCGTAGATTTAGGACAGTTTCTTATGAAATGACCAGATTCATGACAATAATAGCAACGCCTCGAATTAGACCTAGACTTAGATCTATGTCGTCTACTATTATTTTCTCTACCCCTCACATGCATAACTTCCTCAGATTTTCTACCCTCACCCATCTGTTTTAAATCTAATTCCTTACTCTTAAGACCATTTACCACAATGTCAACAGTCACATTATCTCTACCAAACTTAATAGCAGATTTCACATCACCAAAGGAATCAGGAATCGCATTTAAAAGAGCAATAGGGGAATAATCATCTATATGCTTATCACCACACAACTTAATATCAGAAATAAGTTTGGTAAAGACATCTAGATTTTCCTCAATATCCCTAGACATATCTAGTCTAAATTTGAAGAACTTCTCAAGTAAAAACATCCGGTTAGGCAAAGAGGTTACGTTATAAAGCTCTCCAAGTTTATTCCACACAGATTTTGCAGATTCTAAAATTCGTACTATTCTGAGCACACAATCAGATAAATTCAAGTAAATTGTAGAACAAACATTTTCATTCATTTCTGCTTTTTTCTCTTCCGTATCGGAAGCCAAATAGGTCTCACTAATGGCCCTATATGATTTTTGTTGAATTATTATGCACTTTATTTTCTGTTTCCATATGCTAAAATCAGTGTTTCCATTACATGGAGCCATTCCATACTGATTAAAAGCAGACATTTTCACACAGAAAAATTAAACAAGAAAATATAAAATGCAACTTTAGCTAGAAAAACAACTTAATATTTACATGGCTAAACAGTAGCACAAATAAATACAATCTAGCAAATATTAAATCAACAACAAATTCTATCAATTTAAAACAATTGAAAAGCAGAAACTTAAATTTCGGATAAAGAAGACTTACATCAGCCAAACACTAGGAGAGTGTTTGGACCTTACCCACCCAATTCAAAAATTGGGATTTTTCTGAAGTTGACTGCCGTTGACCAGCGTTGACCAAGCTTAGACCGAGTTGACCGAGCAGTTGACCAAGTCTCTTCTCTGCTCCAAGTCCACACTACTAGAAAAAGCACGTTTTGCAACGGAACCGTGCAACGGACTTGTACCTGTTGCAATAATGCAATTAAAACTGCAACGAAATATGACGTAGTTGCAATATAGCAATGAATATTGCAACGGAAAATAAATTTATTGCAAATGTGGCCGAGAAAGAGAGGGAAAATATATTACAACAGATTTTGCAATGGAAAAATAATACTGTTGCAATAATTGCAAGAGAAATTGCAATGCCATATCACTTTGTTGCATACTTATAGATTTGCAACAGATTTGCAACAGATAAACCGACCATTGCAAATACTCCCCTGCAATGAGTTTGTACCGCAACGGTAATTTGCAATGGAGTCAATTCCGTTGCGATTTATTTTTGAAAAAAACATTAACTCTCTTTTAATTTCAACTTTATTGGCTGTATTGACTGAAGTTTCTATAGAGAATCATTTATTTAAAAAAATCATTTGATTAAGAAAAAAATCATTAATTAGTATTTGTTTTAAAATGCGGTAGAAAAAATATTACTTAGAATGTTTTTACTTGAAATGTAATTTGTCCCAGACAAAACTAGTCCAGATCAGTTCAGATCAGACCAGATCAGACCAGACTTGGATAGTTATAAAAATACAAAGTGCCCAGACATTACCAGACCAGTTCACACCAGACCAGACCAACAAATTACAGTTCAAGTAAAAACATCCTTAGTAATTATTTGTGACTATAAGTGTTTCAAGTATAGTCATTAATAGTTACTAAATAATATTTTTGTCAATGACTTGTTTATTCGAAATATAGGGAAAAACCCATTTTATTAATAATATGTATATTTCAAATATAGTTTTTACATCAATCAGCAGAATTAGTCAATTCGGTCACTATAGTCAGAACTTTTATAAGTTTCAGCACCAACTCAACATTGATAAAATAAAATAAATTAAGTACATAAGAAAAAAGATTAAGAGCTCATTTGGTGGCTCTGTTTTTCGGTTTTTCAAGCTTATTAACCAACTTTTAACCAAATACATAACTTTTAATTTTGCGTGCTGAATTTTGTAGTAATAAGAAAAAGTAAGGTTGAAATTTCTTTTCTGGCTGTATTGGCTGAAGTTATTATTGATGACCATTTTAGCTATTTTTTTCATATAATTTCTTCTTTATCTTATTAATAAAATATAATTCCAAATAATTTTATTCATAAATTAGCACAATCAGCCACATCAACCAGAGCTTCATAAATATTAGCAGAATTAGTCAATCAATTTCGGTGTTACCAAACCGGTTCTAATGTTCCTAGTTAATTGAACTTTTATTGTTTAAAAAATCTCAATAAGAGAGTAGCGGGCCTCTAAAAAAAAGAGTAGCGGGAAGTGAAATATACTACCGCCAAATCTCAAACTTTCCAAAATTTTGCCGGAGCCCTAGTTAGTGTATCCAGTCTACTTTGGACTCCAACCAAAACTTGTTTGCCGCACTTCTTCTCTGCGCTTCTCCTTCTCTGCATCAAGCGGCGTTTTTGGGATTTCACTGCAAACCAGGTTCTCTTCTCCGCAGCCCTCGGATTCACGCTATCAAGTAAGCTTTTCTTCTCTGTTTGAGTTAATCTGTTATACGATGTATGCTTGAAGTTTTTCTTCTGGGCCTGGTGCAATAAAGGTGAGGAGACTTCTGGACTTGTTAATTATGGATGTAATTGTTTTATATTACTTTTGATTTGGTTAATTAGAAACTTGTGCTGTAACAAAATATAATTTTTGTTTGGACAACTTGGTGCTTGTGGTTTTCTTGATAAGATTCTGATTTCCTTTCTTGCACTCATGGTGTTTGTTAAAATGCTTGTGAGGAATTAACTTGCAGTTTGGTTCCTTTTTTTTAGCCACAATGAAATATCCAAGTTGAAGTAGTACATACTGTATTACTCAGATCGTTGCAAACAGGATTAATAAGGGTGTATTTGAAGAGTGGTCAACACTTCAAAGCATTTGTTTTATCTTTGGTTCCTTTTTGAATTTTTAAAGCATTTTTTTCCGTTTTATATGCATCTAGTATGTTTAGCTTTCTTGAGTCTACTTTAAGCATTAATATAACTATACATCTATTTAGAAGTTAGGATTACATCTTTGCATATAATCTAAGTTGGTTTTTTACAACTTACTAATTTGCTACTTGAATTAATTTTTATGATATACTTTATTTGTAACTTATTTTATTCACTAACTTATTTGCATAATTTTTAATATATCACAAATTGAGTTTTAATATATCACTTTTCAAAATTTTTTATTTAGAAAAGTGATCACAGTTTTTAGATGAAAATAAACGCATAGTAGCCTAATATTTCTTGATACGCCAGTGACTTTAAGGATAAAATATTGTACTTTCTCTCATTTTGTAGTTTATTTTGTGTTGAATGTACTGCAACTTCATAGTTAACATGGGTTAATTAACTCGCCTTTTTCATATACAAATTGTGTAATACATATTGACAGCTTGAGGAGCAAAGTGAATCTAGATTCCATTAACAGCTCAATCAAAGAATAGAGAAGTGCATAACGGTATGTGCTTTCTGTGGGGCACCGTGATGCTTACTATTTCTATGGGGGCACCCTGATGCTTAGATGTTGTGGTGGGGGCACCCTGATGCTTAGTTTTTGTGATGAGGGCACCCTGATGCTTACTTTTTGTCATGGGGGCACCCTGATGCTATATCATGATTTTTATATTTGTTGTTCGGGTTTTATTTAAAAAAATGGATTTATTACATTTTGTTATAGTCACAAAAAAATGGTCACATAATAAAACTACAATAAAAACTCGTTTAGCCCATTTGAGTCTCCATTATCAATTAAACATATGTTTTTAAAATAATAATTTGGTTATGTGATTACATAGATACAAGATCGAATGAGTTTTACAAATAGAAACTGGATGTATCAAAGGAAAGATGAAGGTGGGTATCTTACTCAAGTATTCATCAAAGGAGTTGATATATTTGTTAACTTTGCAAAGAGTAAGCCAGACTTCATGGATGGAAACAAAATTAGGTGTCCATGCACAAAATGTCATAATCGGCAGTACCAAGAAGTTGACACCTTGAAATTACACTTGGTGAAACACGGCTTTGTTCCAAATTATTTTTTTTGGAATAGACAAGGTGAAACATTGAGTGATAATAGTCCAACTAGGGATCATGCTTTCGAGAATCAAAACTTTGGTTTTGAAGATATGCCCTCATGTTCCTATCGGCAAATGGTCATGGATGCGGCTGGTCCAGACTTTATCCCAACAAGGATTATGGATGAAGAGCCAAATGCAGAAGATAAAAAATTCTTTGACATGCTAGAAGCTACCGATAAACCGTTGTGGCCTGGTTGTGAAAAGTTGTCACAGTTGTCCATTGTATCCCGTTTATTGAACATTAAGTCAGAGTTTCGTCTATCTGAGCAATGCTTTGATGCAATTTGTCAACTATTTAAGGATGCATTACCAGAAGACAATAATATGGTTGATAGCTTTTATGATATGAAGAAGTTAGTACATGGCCTTGGACTTCCAGTGGAGAAAATTGATTGTTGTAGTTCAGGGTGTATGTTGTACTGGGGTGAAAATAAAGACTTGACTGAATGCAAAATTTGTCAGCACCCTAGATACAAGACATCTATGGATTCGTCTAAGCAATCGCGCGTACCTAACAAGCGAATGCATTATTTGCCACTAACTCCAAGGCTAAAAAGACTCTATGCTTCACAGAAGACTGCTCCTTTTATGAGATGGCATGATGAGGAGCATGGCCATGATATAGGAGAAATGTGTCATCCTTCTGATTCTGAAGCTTGGAGGGATTTCAATGTTAGTCATCCTTCTTTTGCATCTGAAAATCGTAATGTTAGGTTGGGTTTATGTACAGATGGATTTCAACCCTTTGGACAATCTGGACAACAATATTCTTGTTGGCCTATCATGGTTACACCTTATAATTTGCCTCCATCAATGTGTATGAAGGATCCTTATATGTTTCTGAGTGTAATAGTTCCTGGACCCGATAATCCTAAACATAAGTTGGATGTCTTTCTTCAACCTCTTATTGCCGAGCTAAAGAATTTATGGGAAGAAGGCGTTCTTACATATGATGTGTCTTTGAAGCAAAATTTTCAAATGAGAGCAGCTTTGTTGTGGACGATAAGTGATTTTCCTGCATATTCTATGCTTTCGGGTTGGGGAACATCTGGGAGAACTGCGTGTCCTCACTGTATGGAACATTCTCAAGCATTTTATCTTCCTAATGGAAAGAAAATGTCTTGGTTTGACAATCATAGAAAGTTCCTTCCCCTTGATCATTCATTTCGACGAAATAAAAGTAAGTTCACAAGAAATCGTGTTGAAATGGGGCCTCCACCTCCTATTAAGAGTGGAAGCCAAATTTTGCAAGAAATTGACGAATTCGGATTGCTGAATGTTATAGAAGATGATGCTGAGGAAGTCAACAAGGAATGTAGTAATATTTGTGGATGGAGAAAACGAAGCATCTTTTGGGATTTGCCCTATTGGAAAACTAATGTCATTCGACATAATCTTGATATCATGCATATTGAGAAAAATTTCTTTGAGAATGTGTTCAACACTGTAATGAATATAAAGGGAAAGACAAAAGATAATGTGCAGGCAAGGGAGGATATGAAACTCTTTTGTAATAGAAAGGAGTTACAAAAAAATCCTCTTACAGATAAGTACCCTAAGGCATGTTATTCATTAGACAATGATCAAAAGAAGGTCATATGCGAATGGGTGAAGAGTGTGAAGTTCCCAGATGGATATGTTTCAAATCTTGGAAGATGTGTTGATATGAAAAAGCATAAATTGTTCGGCATGAAGAGTCATGATTGTCATGTATTTATGCAAAGGCTAATGCCAATTGCTTTTCGAGAGATGTTGCCAGTTAAGGTATGGGAAGCACTAACTGAGCTAAGTCTTTTCTTCAAGAACTTAAGTGCAACAACAATTAAAGTTGATGACATGGCTAGATTAGAAGCTGAAATTCCAATAATTCTTTGTAAGTTGGAGAGTCTACTTGTGCCTGGGTTTTTTAACTCGATGGAGCATCTACCTGTGCATTTGCCTTATGAAGCTAAGATCAGTGGCCCAGCACAATACCGATGGATGTATCGTTTTGAAAGGTAAAATTTATGATGCTTGATAAAAAATAATTTCTCCTTCTTTTTTAATATCTAAGATGTTTCTTTCTAGATATCTACATGAGTTGAAAAAGGATGTGAAAAATAAAGCTAAAGTTGAAGGATCGATTTGCAATGCCTTCTTAGTTCGCGAAGCGTCTAGTTTTTGTTCTCATTATTTCGAGCCACATGTTTATACCCGAAATCGTAAGGTTCCTCGAAATGATGATGGGGGAGGGAGTGAAGACATCACAGATACTTTGTCAATTTTTAAGCATCTTGGCCGTTTTAGTGGAAAAGTGAAGAAAAGAAGGTTGACCGAAAAGGAATACTCAGCGGCGCATACTTACATATTGCTTAATTGTGAGGAGGTTCAACCTTTCATTGAGTAAGATTCAAGTCAAACTCAAAATATATTTAATTAAGTTTTAATGTTATAAATTTTAATACTATTTCTTTAATGATTAATAGGAAGTATGAGCACTTCTTGAAGGAATTTAATCCTGATATAAGTGAAGAAAGTCTTGCAACTCAAGTGGAGCAACACTTTGCTTCTTGGTTTGAGGCTTATGTAAGAGTTTGAATAAAAAAATTATAAACTTGTGTTTAAATTATTACTATATTATCTCATATTGTATTCTTTATATCATAGGCTCGAGAAAACAAAATTGGAAATACATATCTATATGATCTGTCTAGAAGACCATTGACATCAGTGAAATCATATCCCGTGTATTTCATAAACGGGTATAAATTTCACACAGAAGCATATGGCGTTAATAGATCAACAATGAACTATGGTATTTGTATAACTGGAGCATATGGTGACTATTATGGAAAGTTGATGGAAATACTAGAAGTTGAGTACCCAGCTTTGCCACTGAAACGTACTGTGCTGTTTAAATGTGAATGGTATGATCCCACTCCTAACGTTGGAGTAAAAGTTCACAAACAATACAATTTGGTGGAAATCAATCAAAGGAGAAGGTTCAATAAATTTGAACCATTTATTTTAGCAATGCAAGCTTCTCAAGTTAGTTTTGTGTCTTATCCTACCACAAAACGAGGCAAATCTGATTGGTTTGCTGTATGTAAAATTAAACCAAGGGGGTGGATTGATAGCTCGATTACAGAAACTGGTCACTCAAAAGAAGATGCTTTTCAAGAAGATGAGTGTGAAGCAATTCAAATCACAGATTCTACAGATGAGTCAATTGCTACATTATGTGATTCAAACATTGATATGGATATTCCTGATGGAGATTCTGAAAGTGATGAGGACGTGAATGAATTTGTATCAAGTTCATCCAGTAGTGAAAGTGAAGATGAGAATGATTATAATTCTGATAGTGATTAGCAATATGATCGACAATGAGATAGATATTAGCAACAACATGCCTTTATTGATTATTTTGTTTAATTTATTAAGACATTCATTTACTTATTAAGACATTCATTTACTTATTAAGACATTTAGTTATTTTGAATATTACTTTGGATATATTTTCGGTTTTGGTATTATATTTGCTAGGTGGTTCAGTATTTTATGACTTTAAATGGCAGCATATAAACACAAAATGTAGTCATTGCTTGCAGGAAAATGTCTAAGTTGCCACCATCTGGTCGAGGACCAACCAAACGTAAGCGACCAGCAACTCCAGTGGCCAGATTTGTGAGTCGTGTGCCATCATCATCCATTCCATCATTTGGTTCCTCCTCAACTACTCCACCATCATCTACTCCACCATCATCTACTCCATCACTTGGTTCTTCGCCAACTATTCCACAAGTTGGCTCATCATCTACCAGTCCACCATGTGATTTATCCCAATCTACCCCATCACCCAATACCGCCACTCATGTCAGTACTGATACACCTATCTCAAATAATAATTCAGAGCAACCACTACATGTTATTGGGTCTATAGGACCAAATGGCCGTTTGTGCATTGGAGTTAAAAACAAACAGTAAGTGTTAAGTTTATAAAAACATGTTATATAAATAGATTCTATTTATTAATATTTATTCTCTGATAGTTAATGCTTCAAATTATATTTTTTCATTATACAGATTACTTCCTTCAGAAGAATGTTCTCGAAAGATTACTTCTCTTTTCAAGGAAAGGGTTGATCCTCATGGTTACTCATGGGCTAACTTAAGTGAAGATATAATAAAGTTTTATTGGGATGAGTTTAAGGTACCTTTTCAATCATTTATCTTATATTTTGTATTTTTAACTATGAACAATCAAGAAAAGATAATTGGCAGCAAACAATTATTATATTTTAGTTGACTTATAATAAATTTACAATGATTTGTAGAAGCATTGCTATTGGAATCCTATAATGGAATCTTCAATAAAGGCAGCGTGGACTACAAAAGCTAAACAAAGATATTCCAATTATCTCAGTAATATGAAAACAGGAAGATGTCAGAGGAATTCATCAATCACTCAAGAAGTTTGGGATAGTTGGATGACTATGTGGAGTAGTGAAGAATTTCAGAAGAAATCTAATCAAAGCAAAAAAAATAGGCGTCAAGGTGAATTAGAGAAGACTGCCCTATCTACTCATACTAGTGGGGCCATATCTCATGCCAAAGTTGCCAGTCAAATTGTAAGTTGCCTTTGATTTGTTCTATTTCCATGCCACATTCTCCCTAGCTTGTAATTTCTACGATAGTTTGCCAAAGTGTTCAAATTAGCATCACTCGAAGGTTGCCTTCGACTGTGATACCCCCCCCCCCCCCGTTTTTTTTAGAGTAGTTTCATATCATAAAATGCAACATCCAATAAGCTCAAGAAAAGCAGAGCTATATGAATTCAGTTAACAAAAGATTCTGAATCAATAAGAAGTTTGGGTGCCCATGCAAAAAAAATCCTAAAGTGAGTACTTCGAATAAAGACAACCAGTAAAATAGCCAATGTTGTCTATTTGATTCCTACAATTGGCATTAGAATCCTGAGCATCTCATTGACATTTATGATTTCTGAAGGGTCATTGAATGATGGTGGTGGTTCAACTCCAATGAACACAAAAAGAGCTTTTATTTCATCCACTGAATGATTGAGTTGCATCTGTGTATCCCAATATTTCCCTTAGTGCACACACCTGCTCCCATATCTTCTTCTCACTTATGTCCATGTCCTCACTGGATGATGGTTGCCGTGCATTGTCGTTAGTTTTGGTCACACAATGTTCTGATGGGTGTAATCCTCCTGGTGTATCCGGCTGCTCCACTGCTGCATTTCTTTTTAGATGTTCCTTATCTAAATGATTATATGTGATATGATTATATTTTATTTATTCAACATGTCTAATATTGTGATTCACATGATATTTATTGTTTGATTACTCTAATTCTCTAACATTGTACGTTACAAATGATTAATTATTATGTAGGAAAAGGACTCCGAAACTACGGTGACAAGTTATCAGGTTTTTTTGTATACACATACAAAGAATCACGATGGAGAGACTTTCGTAAATGATCAGGCTAAAGAAGTGAATGTAAGTATTTTTTTTAAATATTATTATTTTTTAAACAATTTGCTCTTATATTAATTCAATAAACTATTATAGGATGAATTTGTTTTACGTCGTGAGGAGCTAATTGATATTGGTGAGGAAGTAGATGATGATGAGCTGTTCTATGATGTTGTTGGTGGACCTGACTCAAAGAATAGATTGTATGGAACTGGCTCATATGGTACACAAAATATTCATCGTAAAGCTTCAGAGTACTCTTCTGAAATGGACACTTCATCACCACAATGCAGTAGTGCTGAAATTGATCATTTGAAAGTTGAGGTGGAACGTTTGCAAAAGAACGTGGCACAACAAAAGGAATTTCAACAACAAGCAGAACAAAAGCAACAAAAAACAGATGATGTCATCCGTGCTTTACAAGAGCGGATTGAAACTTTAGCTCGTAATAGGTAGAGTTCTTTTTAAGATGATGGTCGGTTTTAATTAGTCATTTGATTACTAGTATTCTTAAAGATGTAATCACTATTTGAGATATTATTATTGTTACCAAGAGGTTGGACAACCCATTCTTTATAATTTATAATTTTTATTATTATTTGAGACATTACTATTGATATTAATCGTTGTTATGATCTAGTTGTACTGTTGTATGGTTTAAAAATATTATTTTATACAGGTTGCAACAAAATGTAGGTTGTTATATTTTTTTACAAAATATGTGCAAGAGAAACTTGCAATGAGCATTTATTGTAGTTCGGTCATTAACATCGCAACAAAAATTCATTTCATTGCACTTTTGCAACGGAAATTGCAATGAAAAATAAACTTAATTACGGTTAAATTCATTGCAAATTTGCAATGAAATTTGCAATAATGTATACAATTGTGTTGCAACATTGCAATTGAAATTGCAACTACATTTCCGTTGCTTTTTTGCAACGGAAAAACTCATTGCAATGTTAGCTATGGAAAATGCAACGGAATATGATTGTTGCAAACAAAATGCAATGGAAATACATGTGTTGCATTTTCCGTTGCATATCATTGCAACGGATTGAACCAGCGTTGCAAATAATTGCAAGGACGTGAAATGCAACGGAATTTTGTCCATTGCATTTGTTGTTGCAAAGCACAAATTGCAACGGAAATTGAACATTTTGCAATGGAAATGTGCATTGCAATTCGGCATTTTTCTTGTAGTGCCAGTCCCAATGTCAAGCTCCAAGTCCAGCTCCAAGAGTCCAGCAATCCAGCCCAATACTTCAAGCACAAAGCTTGCTGCTTCCAGCCTCTACAACAGGCTTCAGCGTCCAGCAAGTTACAGCCCAGTCCAAATGCAGCTCAAATCAGGCCCAAGTTCAGCCCATGTGCTCCAGCGAACTACTACAGTCCGTAGCTCCCAGACAAACGACTTCAGATCCGAAATTTTGACGACCCAGCTACGCTCAACGACCTAGCTAAGCTCAGCCAAACGGCTTCGATCAATCTCCAGCTAAGCTCAACGAACCAGCTACGAATGGATTTTGACGAGCTCTTTGCGACGGCAACCTGCTACGACGAAGGACAGCAACTCCAGCGAACGAAAAAACGATTTTCGGTGGGTTAGATCTGTGCGTATCCTGAGCAGGCCTCCAGGGACAACGCGACTTCAATTAATGGCGATGAGGAGGACTTACCTCCGGCGACGGCTCTCAGCCAGTCGACGGTTCCACCGGCAAACGAGTCAAGAGCTTCGGAATCCACGAACAGTGAACAAGATGGCGAGGACGAGTCACGAGAAGACCTCCACTGTCTTCAATCAACGCACATCAATCTTGAACGACGGTGCACGGCGGCGGGCGGCGGCAGAGCGTTTCAGAAGGTGGATTCCGGCGAGACCGATGGCGACAACCCTAGTCTCTGATACCACTGTTGAGGATCGATTCCGTCACCACATTCCGGCTCAGGCAGTCCGGAGCTCGGTGTTCCGATTGTCTCTTGTGCACTCCTAAGCTAAGGGAGCAACTTCCCTAAACAGTCATGCCTACACTCACCCTCTAACCTCACAAAGAAGAAGAAGGAAACACTCACAAAGAGATGCACTCTCGGCCAAGAAGAAGAGTGGTTCAACAAATGTAACTCTAGCTTGTCTCAATTAGAAGCACGGGTCTGCCTATATAACAAGGTGTACTTTTGGCCCTATTAGCAAAGGAAATGAGACAGAAAAGGATACCCATACATTGCACAGACAAGAGATAATGCAACTCAATCAGAATTCAAATTGGGGAACTGAATAGGCATAGATCAGTCTGATGGAAAGAATAGAAGGTGTAGCGGGCTGCTAAAATAAGGTGTCAGCTATTATTAATATACAAAGACCATTTGGGCCAATAACATATTAACATAGGATCCTTTTGTTATTTTTTTATCTAGACCTTCTCCATTTTTTGCCACATCAGCACCAATGCACAACACCATTGGAGTTGCTCTAAGGAGTATATATTTGTTTTCGTATGAGGTGGGAGGTTAAACAATAAAGTGGGATACCAATGATCACTCCGCCCTTATCAAAAGACTCCTCAAGCGTTGTGCTCCTACCCCAATTTCTACATTCCCCTTTTCCACTCTTTTGCACATGTATGTATTGAGTAGACGCTCTTAGGTGCACACTTTCATCAATGCTTTAGTATAATCTATACCTATGTAGGTTTAATATAAGGTATACTTTAGTGTCAATTTATTGATGCCTGTGTAGGTATAATCTATACCTTTGCAGGTTTAATATACGGTATACTTTAGTATAATCTGTATCTATGTAGGTCTAATTATAAGGTTTAAAATAGGTAACATATACTTATGTAGGTTTAATATAAGCTATCTTTAGTGTTTATTAATTGATAAAATTAGTTGCACGGTTTCATCTCCATTTAATATTCTCTCAAATCTTAAAACCCTCTTCCTTTTCTGTTTTTAGGTTTCTTTTTGCTCTTAATAATGCATTACTTGATTGCATTCAAGTGTCTAGTTCAACCTTTCCTTCTTCTGATTATCTTTTACAAAATGTTTGATAAAATACAACAGTCTATTGATCATTATGTTAATTTTTTTTTAGAATAATAAAGAGCCCTTTATGTTGGTCCTTCCTATTCTCGTTTGAAAAAGCAGCTAACTTTCTTTTATTGTGTCATATGTCACACTCTTTCTAAGTGTATCTAGATTATATATACTTGATGCTTTATGACAATTCCTATTTTGTTAGACGAAAGAACTTCAAAATCATTTTGGAGTTTATTTTTCTACCTTTACATCCCTAACTGAACAAAAGTAAAAATGTGCTGAAAGTTTGCCTTTAATCCCTCATTGAGGTTATTGTTCTCCTTTTATTCCTTTTATCATTGCCTATTTTTTTACTCCGTATAAATTTAGATTTCAGAAACTAAATGTGTTTTTTAGTTTATGGACATATACTGCTATCAATGTATGCTGATTTACAACACCAACAATTGTTAAACAGTACTCATAACACATGATCTCAGTGATTTCATAGTGTAGCTAATCACGATTAAAATCTAAATCACAATTCGACATGGGTGAAAATGATGATATATATCTAATTAAATTCTTTCTCAAAAATTGTCAAAATAAAAGTACCAACCTACACGTATCCTGCCCAGTGGAGGAGCTGAGCGGGGGCATGAAGGGACAAGCGCCCCCGCTGCACGACAGTAAAATTAGTACTACTACTTATAACATATTTAATGTTTCCCTTCTTTTTTCAAAAATAAATACTCGGTAAAGACAATTATATATTAAGTATTAAAATAAAAGGTGAAATCTTTCAGGAAACGTATCTCTAGGAATACAAGTATGTATAGACTGCATCGTACGTCACTTACTTGAATGCAAGTGTGGATTGTTTTAAACCTTTAATACACACAGGTTGACTTTGATGAATCTTCAATTAAATTACAAAAAGATCTGGATGTACGGTTCCCACCCGTACACCCGGGTGTACCATATACGAACTGGTATATTTGACAAGATTTAAAGTAGATGTTGATGCCGTACTAAAAGTGATACACAAAAAATGGGAACACCTTAATAAATTGCAAAAATTAGGACAGCCATAATATATAATGAACGGTAGACTTAATAAGATTTATAATTTTCGTCTTTTTTTATTTGAGGTACTTTCGGATGGAATTTTTAAGGCAAAAGGGTCAGATAGGTACATGAACTAACTTAAAGTGTTCAATTAGCCCCTTATATAGAAAGTTCTGCCCGGCCGTCGCCAATTGAGGCGGTTCCCGGTGGAATTTTTTGATGAATTTTTTTGAGCATCTTCTTCATTAAGTCTAGTTTACCCATACCAAATTTCAACTAAAAATTTATCCGGGAAGGCAGTCAAATGAGTTTTTGAAGATAAATGCGCATGTAAACAACGTAGTACATTTCAGAAAATCATTTGACTGTCTTCCCGATTTTATTTTTAACTGAAATTTGATATGAGTAAACTAGACTTAATGAAGAAGATGCTCAAAAAATTTCATCAAAAAATTCAACCGGGAACCGCCCCAATTGGCGCCGGCCGGGCAGAACCTCCTATATAAGGGGCTAATTGAACACTTTAAGTTAGTTCATGTACCTATTTGACCCTTTGGCCAATTTTTAATGATATTTTGTGACAATTTTCTTCATGAAGTGTAGATTATTACGTATACTAAGTTTCAATTTAAAGCTTAATCGGAAAGTCAGTTATATCCTTGTACCGAACCTATCCAATATCTAGCCTTGCCCAATAGCACCTTGATCATTGCGGCTATTTTTTCATCTATTTTTTTATTTCATTGATAAAATATATTTTTCGATTCAATATAATTTTTCCATAATTCAGTATATTCAATCAAAACTTTAAAAATTTCGAACACAATCTCCAGACATTACCCTTGAGATATATGGAAATATACATCATGTAGTATAACCAATCTGACAACATGACAACATAATATATCGCTAATCATTGCTCCAATCTGCCGTCTGGCATAATATTTTTTGAATGATCAAACGAGGAAGAGAATGTTTCAATTAACCCTAGTTTAAAAGGGTGTTACATGAAACCATTCTACATTTCTACGTATGGGGATGATGGGGAGATATGCCTTGCAAAGTGCAATTCTTTGGCGTATCAGAGCCATCAATTACTGGAAGATAGCTTTTATTGATATACCAATCTCTGAGAACTTGAGGAAAAGTCTGCGAAACAATAAAAACAAACAAAAACAATTTTTAGTTTTGAAGAAATTTTAATTTTTACTCGTCAAAATGAATTCTGATACCTTATTCCAATCATAAGGTATGTCATGAGCAATGCAACTAGTAATCCACAGCCCTCGTTCCAAAGGACACGCTTTGGGCAATGCAAATAGCACATGTTTCCGCAAATCTATATTTTACAAAACAAAACTATTATACAAAAAGTGGTGTAATATATATGTTGAAAAAGGTAGTGCTTATTCTGTAATGTTTCTTAATAAGTCTGAATTTAATCTGCAAAATCTTTTACATATATATAGACACTCTAGTGAGAGGGGTGGGAATAGGCTAGACGGTCTGTCAGGGGCCTGTGAC